GATATTAGTGGAATATCTAGATTATACGGAATATTCTCTATTTTGCCGCTGATTGTTTAACTATCTTGCCTTGCTAACGATTACGAATAATTGTGGCTTCCTATAAAAAAGTGTTTTTAGTCTCTAATCCGTTTTTTTTTCCCTTAGAACAACAATCTCCACTATTGGGCATATAAAATATTTTGGGTTGATTGGATTTATGTCAAATATCAATTACAAAAAATGGATTTGTAAGAAGTTAAAATCTAATAAGGAGTTTTATCAAATATCCCCTATTTTTAATTAACAACCATTTGATACCTATAACCGAAACAAATTGATTTATATATGTATAAAAACAAAATATTAGATATCAAATTGACATTTGATAACTCATTTTGATACTTTTGGGTCGGAGTTTCTAATTTTTTTTTTCTTTCTTTTTTCTTGTATTTCAAGAGTCACATGAACACGGATCGGTTCGGTTCCGGTTCCCATTCCGATTTTGGAGGAACTGGAACCAGAACCGAACCTAATATTTATGTTCTTTACGGTTCGGTTTCAAACGGTTCCCAGTTCTAACGGGTAGAACCGGCCGATTCTTAATAACATTTTATTTATTGATTTTAATTTTTTTTATTATTACATTTAACATAAAAAAATAGTTATTTTTTTTTAATAAAAAACAGTGCAAAGAATACTTCAAAAACTTAAAAAAAAATTAAATACTTAAAGTTTTTTTTTAAATACTTAAAAATATTTTGTTTAATTCTAAAAAAGTTGAAGGATTTAGTTGTAGTTATAAAAATTAAAAAAGGAAAAAATAAGAAATTGAAAAGGCTTAAAAAAAGGAAAGGAAATAATTAGTTGTAGTCATAATTAATATTTAATTTAAAAAAAAAAAAAACGGTTAGATCGGTTCTAACCGACGGTTAGCTGTTTCAAAAATGGGGAACTGGAATCGAATTGATTATTCCGGTTCCGGTTTGGTTAAAGAACCATTGACTCCGATTCAGTTCCGAACTTCCGATTTCAGTTATAATCGAACTGGTGGTCATGTCTACTTCCATGTACCTAACCGGGTCGGATCCCTTAGGGCAGAGCCCAATGGTCTGATACTAACCCGATCGGCTAAAACAAGGATAGTAATTAGTTGCCATATAAACATTACAATTCTTGCAAATTATTGTATTATTATATATTGGTAATTGCGATCTATATTCAGTAACAAATTTTATTTACTTTTTTAATCTGCTAAGTTAAATAGGAAATAAAAATAAAACCCCTTATAAGTAAGGAATTAATAAATCAAATATTACCATGCACACACATGGAATTTCTTGCATTAATTTAACAAGGTATATATTGTTATATATATTAAAATCCAACTTCAATTCATCACACATGCAGATTAAATTCTGCTGTATTATTATTATAATTATATAAATTCTTCTGAGCTGAATCAATGGCTCAGCAATGGCTCCCCCTAGTAGCAACGATATGGCTCCAATCGATAAACGGGACGAACTCAAACTTCGCGGCGTACTCGTCGGAGCTCAAGAGAATCCTCTCTCTATCGCAGCTCCAGCTCAACAACTTAGCTTTCGCCTCCGACGCAGGCAAGCTCCTCGGCTGGATTTCCGGCTTAGCCGGAGCCCACCTCCCCCTCTGGCTAGTCCTCTTAATCGGCTCCTTCCTCGGCTTAGTCGGCTACGGCGTGCAATACCTCTTCCTCACGAACCAAATCGTCACTTCTCTCTCGTACTGGCAAGTTTTCGCACTCACCGTTCTAGCGGGGAACAGCGTTTGCTGGATCAACTCCGTTTGTTACATCATAGCGATACGGAATTTCCCGTTGGATCGTCAGATAGCCGTCGGATTATCCCCCAGCTACGTGGGGTTGAGCCCCAAGGTTTATACGGACGTAGTTGATGTTTTCGTCGCTCCGAGTAATTCGCCTTCCGAGAGGGCGACGTTGTTTCTTTTGTTTAACTCGGTCTTGCCGCTGGCGGTTTGCGTAGTGGCCGCGCCGCTTGCGAGAGACGTTGCTATCGGGAAATCGAAGGAGCTCTCCGGAGGGTTCTTGACTTTGTTCGTGATTACGGTGGTTACGGGTATTTTTGCTATCGTTAGTAGTTTGGGTTCGATGGTGACGAGGCTTTTGTTGCCGTCGAAGGTTGTTCTCGCCGGGATGGTGGTGTTGTTGTTCTTGCCTTTGGTGGCTCCTTTGGTGGAGAAAATTAGAGAGAAGGTGCAGCGCAAGTGTTCGATACGAGTTTACAACTGCGGCAATAATAATAATAATAATAACAAGAATAATAATTTGGAAATCGATGATTTGGAAATTGGAAAAATGGAAACTATTGTCGGAATTGTGGAAATCGGGGCGAAGGTGATGTTGAGGAAAGTCGAGTTTTGGTTGTACTTCTTTGTTTATTTATTTGGTGGGACACTCGGTTTGGTTTATATGAATAACTTGGGGCAGATTGCCGAGTCGAGGGGGTGTTCGGGTACTTCTTCGTTGGTTTCTTTGTGTTCCGCGTTTCGGTTTCTTCGGTCGCATACTTCCATCTCTCTTAGACTACTTTTTCTCAAAGTGAGTCTCTCTCTCTCTCGCAAGTTAATTGCATTATGGATCTGTTAGATGCTATACCGGATGAAACACAGAAACAGTACATAATATTTATCCACACATAAAAACTAAACATATACTATTTATCGACACGCAAAAAAACACGGATATTTAACACTTATAATATATCGTAAAATTGTTATTTTTTTTCAGAACGAAGTTCGTGTTATCGAGGGCGATGGCAATGGGAGCGATGATTGTTCCGATGTGCGGAGCATTCTTCCTAGTTGCGATTAGCAAACAAGACTACTCGCTATACAGCAGCACGGCAATTATAGGGATATGCACAGGTGCAATTACTTCGTTATCCGTCTCTGCAACCACCGAATTATTCGGGGCGGAGAATTTCGGCGTAAATCACAATATCTTGGTCTCGAATATTCCGATTGGATCCTTTTTGTTTGGGGGATTTGCAGCGTTTCTATACAAAAGAGAGAGATATCTCGGGGAAGAGAATTGCATGGGAGAGAGATGCTACCAAACCACTTTCATCATATGGGGTTCTTTGTGTCTTTTGGGAACTTTGTTAGCTTTGATTCTTCATGCAAGGACTAAGAAAATTGCACATAATTAGTATAATTAGTATATAGTACATAGAGAGGATTTTTTTTTTGAACTTTTTTTTATGATGTGCTTAATTTGTGATTATACATTTGGACAGGAATATTATATTATTTGTGTGATTACAGTGGCAGGCTAATTGAAAAATAATAAAAACAGTACAACCTCGATAAACTAATAACCTCGTAAAATTAATAACCTCGTTTAAATAAGTTTTTTTTTTTTTTTTTGTCCAAGCTTGGTAAAAATCTTCTAAATTATTAGTTCGATAATTTATATTTCACTAAATTAATAGATATTTGTTAGTCCCGAGTATATTAATGTATAAATTAAAATTTAAAGGTTATTCTACAACCTCTTTTCCCAATAATTTGATGTGCAATTAAAATCTAGAACTGCATTCTAAAAATATGTGTTATAATCCAAAAATTATTTAAATATATATGAATAATCGAGAATAAAAATCTGTAAATATTTTAAACAAATAAATAAAAGCAAGACAATGTATATTTCTCAATAGAAAATGAGAAACTAAGAAATAAGTACATGATATTACAGATGATAAATAAATAAATAAAATTACAATATTTATAAATTTATATATTAAAAATATATATATATATATATATATATAAAAAAAAAAAAAAAAAAAAAAACAAACCAGTATATCAAGGTCCCGTACAAAAAAAATTTACCATCGAGTTGAAATGACCCTGCAATTGTTAATTAGTGATGCGAATTGTTTAATATATATTTCCAAACTGTAAATCATTTAATATTTATATCTCCAACAATAATAATATATAAAATCGTATTTAGGTCGTTCCTAACTTGTTCTTCATACATTATATCTTAGATTGTGTTGTCCATTTCATACACACGATTCACTCATTGCCATATTCTCTGGGTTGCTTCAAAGATAAGAGTAACAGAAATCTTCTTGAAAACTGTTCTCTTTTACCATATCGATAGTGTGTGTGTGTGTGTTCATTCATTTCCACGAGTCTTTATTTTTTTTTTTATTTTTTTTTTTAAGATAGTAAATATAATTTGCCCATGAAGAAATTAAAAAAACAAGCAATGAAAGATACAATTCAATAATTGGGGTGACAGACCATTCCCAATAGATCAAACCGAAAAGTATCACATTAATTTCCGAAGGTACGTCAAGACAAGGTAGCATGTTGACTAGTCAATGCCGGTCAACAGTCAAAATGATCAATTGGTGAAATTTGGATTACATTATGGGGTCCAAAATCTTGAATTGGATGCATTCGAAGTATTATGGGTAATTTTATCAAAAAATACTAATGATAAAGACTAACGAACTTTGGTACAAAACTACAAAACCAATGCATCTTATATATAAAAGAAAGAAACGTTGTGCAACCCTAACAAAACCCTAATGGTATTTCTGTAAATATTTATTTTTAATATTTTTTATCTACTAATTTCTAACTATAATTTTTAACAATTATCAAAATTGAAACTAAACCGAGAAAAATCCTACCCTAATGGTTAAATCTTAATCTATATATTTGGATTATAAATCTCAATAAGTAAAATTTAAAAAAAATAATGTTATATAAAATATGAATAATACTACATTATTAAATTTTACCATGTTAGTGACTACATTTTCTTATTTTGTATTAAATTGATTATTTTTTTTCACTTTTGAAATAATCTCCCGTGCATCGCACGGGGGAAAATGCTAGTTTATTTTAATTACAAGTGGTTGTAAGGGATCTTTAACTCATTTCCAAAAAAAAAAAAAAAAAAAAAGAAAAAAACGGCTGAACGCAACCGTAAATTCGTGCGCTACGACAGTGTCCAAACACAAATTTATTTCGGGAAAAGAAAAAAATGTCGAGGAAAGACACCATCCAAGGCCTACATTATGAGTGAAACATCGTAAAACTAAAAATTACATTGAATCCATAATATTCAGAGTTCTTGACAAACCAATAAATACCAACTGGGCTGGTTTATATCATATCTAACGAAAATCACGATTCGAAATGACTAAAATCGAACATTAAGACGTATAGTTTTCAAAAATAAATAAGAAGAACGCGTTTCTAATGCATTTCCATTCATATAATAGACTTGGTTAAAAACTATCGTAAGCATGTATTTCATATAACTATTTCGACATACCTTTTCGATAAAAATTACGCCTCCGTCTTTCTCGGACCGTAAAACTCCTCTCTCCACAACTTCCAAGCACTTCTAACTTCCTCTAATTGTGACTCGGGTATACAAGTATTTGCGTCAAGTAAGTCAACCCATTCATTCCAGGGCGACTTCACAGGGTCGAGAAAAACCGACAACTGAGGCAACATAACCGAATAATAGAAATCATCGACCAATTTGAGAATTTCTTTCGACTCAACCAAAGTCAACATTTCCGGCCTTTTTATATTGCCGGGCCTGTTCCTTATCACAAAATTGTTGCCCCTCAAAATGAGTACCTCTGACGGAGCAAGAGGTACCACTATCCGCGAGAATTTGGACAGAGATAACTTTAGTATATCTCTCGGGAGTAAATCGCGCTTTACGGCAATAGCCGTTCCTACCATTTTGCGTATCTGGTTTAATATTTAGTAATCATATTAACCACGAGTATATTGAACTAAAAGAAATTTTATTTAAAATATTGATTGAATATGTTGCATGCCTCGTTTGGTTCCTAAGATAAGATTATGCAATCTTATTAGGCCTCGTTTGGCTGCCAAAATAAGATTAGTCAAAATAACCTTATGACAACCCAATTATTGTATCGGACCCCGGGACGTCCAACAAAAAAACTCCCTGAAAGGCAAGATAAGCCATGATAACAAAATATTTGCGGGTCAACCCGGCAAGTTATTGGGGATACCAAACATCAAACAAAGTCCAATATATTAGTTAACAATGGCTAATTGCTTATCTCTCCAACCAAACGAGGCCTTACAACTCAACTGTATAACTGAGCTAGGGGATGTCCAATACAAAAACCCCGAGTAAGCCAGGATAAGAGCTCATGTTTTCATAACTTCGGGCTTGCTCGAAAAATTAGGGTTTATTGTATTCAGCACCATTGTATTAAAAAAAAATACCCGTGTTAAAAGTATCAGCAAAATACCTTATATTATTCAATTTTATTTGCAAACTAACCCCTAAAAACACACCATTTAGAGCGTTGTATGCTGAAAAAATACATTGTAGGGTTATTTTGTTATTTTTTATAACACGGGTAGTTTTATTAGCAATTCGGTATAACACATGGCCAAGGGCAATTTAGTGTTTTTCTATGTCTTCTGCTATAATCTATGCATATTTATTGATTTTCTTAATATGTGTGCAACAACTCAAAACGATATATAATATGGGACGGAGGGTGTATTGCACTGACCAAACATCAAATAAGACCTAATTATTTAATCAATCGTGGTTTATCTTATGAACCAAATGAGGCCCTATTGAAACATAGCAAAGATAACTATGGCCATTGAATGAAAAATAAAGAGAAAAAACATACCTGATGCAACATGAACGACTCTCCGCAAATGGATATTTCGACGAAATTCATACCGGACAACTGCTCCAACTTTCCGCAGCTACACTGAAAAATCTTTCTGAAATGCGAGGCGCTGATTCTGTCCTTTTCATCAGGTTCGTGCAACCACCGAGCAAGTACAGGTGACACGAGATTTTGCTTCTTCGGTTGGTCTTCTTCGTCTTTAGGCAAAAGAGAATCATACTTAGTTTCCTCGGCTTCTGTCGCTAAAGATTCAGTGACGACATTAGTATCTTCTTCTTCTTCTTCATCGTCACTTCCCTCTGACACAAACTCACTTTGCACATCTAACGACTTTCCCATTTTTGATGCAGAAGAGCCTTTTTTCGGAAACTGTTTTCTGTACTTGGATCGCACTGTATAATTATGAAACGGGTGTTCTCCCTGAAACACGACACGATGGCACAAAAGTAGTTGATTAAAGTGAGATTTACCCTATACGAAGAAGAAACCAAAGTCGTAAAGGATTAAATATATACCTGAAAAGTGTTTAGTATATCATTAAAATCTGATAAATGATGATCGACTTCGCTGGCTGTGGAATTTTCCTTCACTCCTATAATTTCAGCGGGAAGAAGATATGAATATTTACGGATGCTACATTCCCTTCGAGCATCGAAACTCCTGATAATAAGTAAGCAAACGTTAATAATAAGAAAAATTGATAAACACATAAGTAGCATTACTTGATTGTTATTATCAAAATTCAAACATTTCAGCAGAGTTTATAATTAAAGTATAAACGAGAACATAAACAGCGAACAGAAGAAAACAAACAGAAAAAACCATAGCATGTGTCTATATATATATATATATATATATATATATATATATATATATATATATATATATATATATATATATATATATATATATATATACTCGTAATACTGGTTAGTCGTCACACACCAATTGAGACGAATCTGTACCTTTGAGAAGGTAAGATGCTGAAAACTCTGATGTTTCGAGGAAGGTAAGAATTAACATAAGTAGCAAGAGCAAATCCATTCGGATCATTGTTCCACGCAGATTCCGGAATCTCCAATTTTAAAGTTATCATTGTTGCTAGCGAATGAACCTGAGTACATCAAAAAGAAAAAATTAAATCTGATGAAAAACAAAGTTGCATGCGGATACATACATACATATGCCAGAGAAAACCTAGCTTCGAAGAATACTAGACAGTAGTAATTACGTAGATTACCCCTTTATCCGTCCGGCTACTTCTAGCCCACCCAATTTTATTCAAATCTCCGAAGTTGCTATCTCTGATTCCGCCAGCTTTATAAATAGCATTTTCTAATTCACCTTCAATCGCTACACGGAAAAAAATAAATAAATAAATAAATAAAATAAAAATCACATGCTTAGCACAATCTTAAATGTGTCAATATCTCAACATATCGACATGAAAAATTGGCTCTAATATATCACTTTCCGTGCAATCCATAAACGACAGAACCTCAACATAAGGTAGCAATAATCAAGAAACAATTCTATATTCAGACACCCAAGCAAATGAATAACAGTAGTGTAAGAGCAGCAGAAAAGGAGCAATGCTATGTAGCACGGGCACGGATGCCTCAAAAATGGGAATATGGAAACTTGGGGGAAACGTGTAACTGTAAATATTAAAAGTACAGGGGCATATTTATATATATGTTATATAAACATATATAAGTTTTTATTTATGTATAAATTCGTTCTATATACTTCCATACAAATACATTCAAAATGAACATTATTATAAACTATTAATTTGCAATTGATCGTTAAATCATGTAAATAATTAGGGAAGCAACAAAAATATTTAGAAATTTGCTTATTCAAACATGCTTTCTAACTTTTTAGATATTGCAAAATGGACCCTAAGGTATTCGGCAGGTGTCCGAAACGCGGATACGTTACGAAATTGAAGTTTCCGTGCTACATAGAGCAAACGGAAACACCAAAATTTTGACGGCGGTTCGTCTGAAAACAACACCACACACACACACACACTCGAATACTCGATAATCCATGTTTATAAATTGAAGTACTTAATTGAAGAAATTGGAAAGGGCAGGAAGGGAATAAGAAATCTAACTGGAGAATTCAGGCTGGTCTCTCTGAATTTGCAAACCTGCATTCACAATAGAACACAAACACCCATCAGATTCTGAAAACAAAATACATAAGAGACAACAGAGAAGAATATACCTTTGTAATCCGAACCAACATAGCCGACGCGCATTACGACTTTCTTCTTCCGAAAAGGCTCCCATTTATCTGCATTCTCCGAAGGGCTTACTTCCACGGCGGCGGCGGCGGCGGAAGATGAGGAGGTGGAGAAGCCGAGGACAGATAGTTTGAAAGGTTTGAAGTCGGTGAGGTATTTGAAGCGGCGGTGGGGTGTAAGTGTAACCCACCGTGGGGAACGAAGAAAGGATACCGCCATGAATTTGATACTGTGAAATTAAATTACTGTGTGTGTGTGTGTGTGTGTGTGTGTGTGTGTGTGTGTTTTTCCCAGTAACAAGAGATACAAGAGTCGTTTGATTGATGAGCTATAGTCGTGGTTACAGTCAAACACGCTTTTTGGTGCCACAACGCTTCATCATCCGATTACACACATATTTTTTATTTTATCTTGTAAAAGGTTGGCTGATCACAAATTACTACAATTTTTATTTATGTATAATTGCTAAATGGCACATTGAATCCAAAACCGTACTCTATAAAATCGAAGCTTATATTATAAGTATTTCATATTTTATTCAAAATTAATATAAATATATAATTATATGTATCTGTATATTAATATTTAATTGTATTTAAAAGATTATATAAGAGTAATTAGAGGATAAATTGCATTATGCAGCACAAAATAGAAGCATTTTGGCATGAAGCACCACAAAAAGTTTTGAATAAAAAAAAACATTTTGCACAAAAATAGTATGGAACAAATATTGTGGGGAAGAAAATCCGTACTCAGTTTTACTTTCATCTTCTGTAATCACATTGTGAAAGATAATGCTAGTTTTCATCATCTTAGTCAACTGAGTCACGACAGTGGATTGAGAATTCACATTTCACCACATGCGGGTTCGATCTCCATTGTTTACGCATCAAATAAATATTTTTTTTCGGAGACACAAAACAAACCTAGAAAGCATTTTTTTTCCGCAAGTCATCTCGGGTTTCAAAATTTTGAATTAATTTTTAAATATATAGAATTGTGAAAAAAATTGAATTATTTTTTTATTTGAAATCAAAATTTCCAATATCTAATTCCGATTTTAATTTTTCCGAAAAAATTATAAATCGGAAAAAATTAAATGAAAAATAAAAATTTATGATTCCAGTGCGCATTGGGGACTAGCCTAGTGTCTAAATTTATGATTTCCGAGACGAACTCGCTAGGATTTTCAGCCTCAAGCTCAAGCTCAAGCTCAAGCTGGTGTCCAATTTTACGAACTCAAGCTCGAGCTCATCGAGCTTTCATTATCTAGGCTAAAGCTCGAGTTCAGCTCATTTTGTTAATTTTTAGTTTTTTTTTCTAATTTTTATAATATTACTTTATTTTATTAGTATAAATTATTTTTAATATTATTTTTATTATTTAGATAAAATATAAATAAATAATAAGCTCATGAACTGTCGAACTAACTATAATCGAACTCGAGCTCGAGCTCAAAATACCAAAACTCGAGTTCGAGCTTTTATCAAGACTACTCGGCTCATCTCCCTATTGGGTTCCTTTTAGTCCTCTTCCCTCGTTTTTCTATCATTCAAAACTCTCTTAAGTTGTGTACTTGTACATCCAATATCCATGGCGGCTGCCACCGTGAATATCGGACCCCTTTCACCATAGACCATGAATTTCATCCTCCTCCATAAAAACAGTTATCCATCGAACACTTCAATTCCCAATGTCGGTGATCAAATGAGCTCAACATTCGTAGAACAGAATAAAGATGTCTTTCCTCAGCCCGAAATCACTGGCCTCATTCGTGGAGGCCGCCGTCTCTGCTCAGTCACCCCGCCACGGCGGCGCCGCCCACGCCCAGGTCATCAAAACCCTGGGCCTATCCCTAAACGCCTTCCTCTCCAATCACCTCATCAACATGTACTCCAAGCTCGACCGGCCCGAACCGGCCCGAGTCCTCCTCTCCCTCACCCCACCCCATTTCCGCTCCGTCGTCACCTGGACTTCGTTAATCTCCGGCAACGTTCAGAACGGCCATTTCTCCTCCGCCCTCTCCTATTTCGCCACCATGCGCCGAGAGTGCATTCAGCCCAACGATTTCACATTCCCTTGTCTGTTCAAAGCGTCGGCCTCACTCCGATCGCCCGTTCTCGGCCGACAGTTTCACGCGCTTGCTACGAAGCTTCTGTTGATCGACGACGTCTTCGTCGCCTGCAGCGCTTTTGATATGTACTCAAAGACCGGCTTTTTGAGCGACGCGGACAAACTGTTCGAAGAAATGCCGTACAGAAACATAGCCACCTGGAATGCCTGCATTTCGAACGCAGTCCTCAACGGGAAGCCCCACGAGGGCGTTCGCAAGTTCGTGCAGCTTCTACGCTACGAAGAGGCTGCTCCAAATTCCATTTCGTTCTGCGCTTTCCTAAACGCATGCTCCGACGGCAATTTCTTGACGCAGGGGCAACAATTGCATGGATATTTGATCAAGCAAGGCCACGAATCTGAAGTTTCTATCTTGAATGGGCTAATTGATTTTTACGGCAAGTGTCGCAAGATTCAATTTTCGAAGAAAGTTTTCGACGATATGGGCGAGCGCAATAGTGTTTCTTGGTGCTCGATGCTAGCGGTTTACGAACAAAACGATATGGGAGAAATGGCATGTGGGTTGTTCTTTAAGGCAAGGAGGGCAGGTGTGGAGCCCACAGACTTCATGGTTTCGAGCGTGTTAAGTGCGTGTGCGGGTTTAGCCGCACTCGAATCGGGGAGAGTTGTTCATGGTCTGGCCGTAAAGGCTTGTATCGAAGAGAACATTTTCGTCGGAAGTGCTCTAGTCGACATGTACGGAAAGTGTGGGAGTATCGAGGATTGCGAGAGAGCTTTCTTCATGTTGCCTAATAGAAACTTGATTTGTTGGAACGCTTTGATTGGTGGATACGCCCACCAAGGGCGCGCCGACGTGGCGCTCGAGCTTTTCCGTGAGATGACTTATCCCCCTAACTATGTAACTTTCGTGTGCGTGTTAACTGCATGCAGTAGAGGTGGTTTGGTGAGCGAGGGTCTCGATATATTCGATTCGATGAAGAGCAAGTACGGAGTTAATCCTGGAGCAGAGCATTACGCGTGTGTTGTGGACATGTTAGGGCGAGCGGGACAGGTGGAGCGTGCTCATTCGTTCATACAGCAAATGCGGATTCGCCCCACGATTTCGATATGGGGAGCGTTGTTGGGCGCGTGCAAGATGCACGGAAAATCGGAGCTCGGGAAAATTGCGGCCGAGAATTTATTTGAACTCGATCCACAAGATTCGGGAAATCACGTCCTGCTTTCGAATATGTTTGCAGCTTCCGGCCAATGGGAAGAGGCGAATCTCGTGAGGAAGGAAATGAAGGAAGTGGGGATCAAAAAAGGGGCCGGGTGCAGTTGGATATCGGTTAAGAATTCGGTGCATGTTTTTCAGGCGAAAGACGTGTCGCATAGTAGAAATGTCGAGATACAGGCGATGTTGGGTAAGTTGAGGAAAGATATGAAAGCGGCTGGATATACGCCCGATACGAAATTGGCTTTATATGATATTGAAGACGAAGAGAAGGAAAACGAAGTGTGGGCCCACAGTGAGAAGATTGCGCTGGCGTTTGGGCTTATTGCGCTCCCTCGTGGAGTGCCGATTAGGATAACGAAGAATCTTAGAGTGTGTGTGGATTGCCATAGTGCGATAAAGTTCATATCGGGTATCGTTGGACGGGAAATTATAGTTAGGGATAATAACCGTTTTCATCGGTTTTTGGACTATAAATGCTCTTGTGGTGATTATTGGTGAATATATTACCGTGCTTATTTTTTTAAATGCAATAGATACTTTGAGACCAAAGTATTGTGCCTGGTTAGATTCGGACTCGGACTCGTTTATTAGCTCAAACCAAGTTATGAACCGAATATATCGATTTTTGAAAGACTAGAAACAAATCGTATCAGTTTTATTTCGGTTCGGTTTCATTGATTTGTTTGATTTTATAAATTTTGATTTAAAATTTTCAAACACTTTCATATTATCTTATTTCCTTTGAGGCTGAGACCATTTCAAATCAGGTCGAGTTGTTTCATGACCAAATTAAACTGACCTTTTCTAATTGATGCATTAAAAATAAAGAAATAAAATATATATTGAAAAAAAGAGAAAAAAAAAGAATAAAAAACAATGACATGGTTCCTAGTTCGGCTAACGTTTTGATTTTTTCGATTTTCGATTCGATTTTTCGGATACTTTGACTCACCCAAGACAGATTCCATGTGTATATGCCACCAAGTAAACAAGTTTGAAGAAATTTAATTTAATAAACGCAAATATATATATTAGTTATAATAATGGACGACGGCAATTAATATGTTGCCAACTTTGATAAATTATTTTATGGAAACCGGTGCTTCGTGGAATTAATTAAAGGGTAAAGTTCATTTTACCTACCTGAACTATACCCAACGTGTAAAATACCCCCCTAAACTACAAAATGAATCAAAACAGCCCTTCCCATTTATTGGTCAACGTTAAATACAGCAAAAAGATTGACACCGTTAGTTTTAGAGTAAAACCGTTAGTTTTAAGGTGATTTTACATATTTACCCTTAGCATCTTCTTCCTCCCTTCTTCTCTTCTTCCTCTTTTTTTTTTCCTTTTTTTTTTCCCACCCACTCTGTTCTTCGGACCAGCAATACCCATCATAAAAAAAATCATTTTTTTTCATCAATCACTTCCATCTCTCTCTCTCTGAATCACCTGAAAACCTATTTAACACCAACCGTTTTCAGATTCGAATCAATGGGTTGGACTCATCTATTGCGCAATCGTCTCCACAAACGGGTCAAAAAAGATTACACTCGAATCCACGGCGGCACCACCTTTCTTTCACCACCACCGTCATGGGTCTTTCCATCTCCTCTTTCAACTTCTTTTCTCGCAACCAAAACCTCCAAGAAATTCAAGAAGAAACGCAAAAAAGATGGGGCGATTTCAACAAAGTCCCAAATCTGAAACCCTTCCATTTGTGAGTTGGGGAGAAAAAAAATCAGGGTTTTGATTACTCTGTTTGTCACCTTGAATTAGCCAAGCCATGAGAATGGAAAAAATGGAAGTACCCAGACATTAAAGTCTACAACCCAACTTATTATTCTTCAATCAAGTTTATGAACGTTTGTTGTATTCAATTTCTGGCAAAATAAAAGAAACAGAAGAATATATAATATAATACATATATATATATATATATATATATATATATATATATATATATATATACACACACACGCACACACACAAATAGATAAAATAGATTTAAGGGGTGAAAATGTCAAATCCAATACAAAATATGTAAAAATAATTATAAAAGCAAAAGTCAAAGTGCCATGTCACCAAAGGCGCACAGATTTTAAACGGAAGGGCTATTTTGATGCATTTTGAAGTTCAGGGGGGTATTTTATACCTTGGGTATAGTTCAGGTAGGTATAATGAACTTTACCCTTAATTAAATACAAAAACTAGAAAAGTTTATAAACTTATTTTGACCTATAAAAGTCAACTCATTTTTGACAGCCTAGTTAGGCCTTGAGAATTGAGATTCACCAAATAAATGTACACTCTTTGTTTACGGATTCCCATAAGTAAAGGTTTGATTCGTGAAACAAGAAATAAATAAAACATTCATCATTCAATTAGTTGTCAAGATAAAATTAAATAATTTAATAAAATCAAATTATATTATTGGAGCTTCAATAATTCAATAAAAAAACATGGCAAGATAATGCTAAGTCATGATAACTAATGAGGCCTGATAAGATATGGACTATATATGGGTGGGTTTATCAATATGGATTTTTGGCGATTAATGGGCAAGAACAATACCTTCTTCATTGGACTTAGTTTCCGAAATTTACTTAACTGCAAAAAGGGAGTATCAGAGGGTGTTCTCCCCGGCGTTAGCACTCCGAATTTAAGTTAGTCCAAATGTAATGATTGCTGAGAAGGAATATGTAATTATATGAGAGTGTGTATAAATATCCAAAAAATGGCAACATGGAGATTAATCTAAGAAGTTTTATTTATACTGTCACCTTATAAGCTCCAAGGGTCCCATGGCCACGTGGGAGGCTAGTAGTAGTCTGGGCTATCGCCGCCTACCTATTTCCTTTCAGCGAGGTTAATACCCTTTGGCGAGGTCAACCCGCGCACATCCTTCCTGGGGTGAGATCTTTGCTATTTCTTCGTACCCGAGCGAGATGATAGTGAGTTGAATTTCGTTGGGCGAGGTTATTACTCCTGACACATTTCTCCCAAGTTGTCCTATCTACAGACTTTCCATCTTGTTTCTGACCCCGTTCTCCCAGGCAATTCCTTTTTGCATCCTCTTTCGTACGCCCTATTTTCATCTGCAAATTCAACTCTTTGCCCGATACAACTCTCGACCCATCTCCGTTCATCCGAAAACAAGCACACGATCGTATTGTGGACTTCCGGCGACCGTTTATCCAGGTGAATCCCCTTTCCTAACCTTTTCCAATCAGTTTACACCAGTCGTCTTTTTCTTTCTCGTATTTCCATAAAGATGGCATCGACACCCCTACCGTCCAGTGAGACCACCCCCCTAGGCAACTCCTTAGAACTGTTAGGGTCCATGGCTTTTTGGGGTGTTTTTTGTATCCCAAATTATTTGTCACTTTAGAGTTCCAATAAAGTATTAATTGCATTTTTATCAATTTTATCCCTTATCACTCTTAATTAGTTAATTAAAAAATATTAATGAAAAGGGTATTTTAGTATTACCATGTTATTTTTGGTATAATCTATGCATATTTATTAACTATCTTAATCTAAGCATAACCACCCAAAACGAATAAAAAAAGACGGATGGAGTATAATGGGATAAGAATGGCTTAGATCTTATTAATGATAAATGGAGATAGTGAATTTATTTATTATATTTCTTGTTAAATTGCTATTAATTATTTTGAACTGATAAATGATGATTGTACAGTGGCGTTACGCAAAATGAGCACATTTTTACTTCCAATTTGAATTTTTTTCAAGTGAACTAGGTAGCGGGTAAAACCCATCAACCAACCCATTTTGAAACCAACATTCGGTTGTCAACCATCAACCGACCCATAAATGTTGGGTCGGCAACAGTTTTCAAATTTGAGCAAAATTGGTTTGCCGGATGGGCCGTTTTTAGGATTGTAATCGACCGACCCAACGCAGTCTCAGCTCTACTCAAAACAAAGCTTAGTTGGCACTAAAAAGTGAGTAATATGAAACAAGTTTTATTTATTTGAAAACGATAGTAATTAATTTAAAACTAGAGGAAGAGTAATAAATAGAGTCTAAGTTAAGAGTTGTAGAGCATTGGGCAGCACAATGAGCATACATTTTGTCTCCTCTTAACTTCACATTACACCTCCTTAAATTGCACTGACTAATATGTGTGTGTCCACTGACTTTATTGCTCGGTCAAACCTTTGTTTTCCCCGCACGTGCATCCTTAAGGGCGTGTTTGGATGTTTCAGTTACCCTAACAAATATTTCTCCCTGGAAAACCTAGTCAATTTCGAGTTTTTCTGAATTAACTTTTAAAAATTCATAAACTTTTAAGTTGACTCTTTGATTTTTCTTATTTATTATTATAAATATTTCATAATAATATTATTAATAATAATACTATGTAGTTACTCAAAACCAAGATTTAAAATAATTTTTTTTATTTAGGTTTTCAAAAATTCATGAACCGGCCTTTGTGATGATCTTGATCGAACTCGAATATTAAAATGTAATTAAACCTAATTAATGAGTTTAACTTCAAACTTATAAAATTTCACATCAACCTTCAAAAAAATTGAGTTTCGGTTTCGGTTTTGAGCTCAACTCATTTACACCTTACCTGAATCCATGAAATAAGGAACAATGTTCAACACATGAAATAATATATATCACATATTTTCTTATAAGAAATTAACAATAATGTGTAATTATGACCAACCTTATAAATCTTATAATCAATCGCATCAACGTTCACAAACGAGCTCTTGCTAGAAATATCTAATCACGAGATGGATAACTAGTATTTTCTCGTACATTTTATTAGGTTCAACCTATCCAATTCGAGCTAGCTAGTACATATTTACCTCGAGCATAAATTTCATTTAAAGAAAATTAAGCTAAGTGTCACAACATACAAGAAATGGAACAAACTATGACAAAACCCTAACACATGCAAATTCTCAGTCACCCCAAATTTTCTTACTTTATAAGTAAAAAGAAAAAAAATAATTCATGAAAAAGACAAATGCACTATATATATATATATATATATATATATATATATATATATGGTTGATGCATTTAGTCGAAATATGATATGTGATTATTGGAAATGCTGTTGTAGCTAGCCGTTCTAGAAGGGGACGCAAACAGAGACGAAGGGGTTGAAGAAGTGGACGAAACGATGATAGAAGGCGGCGGTGGCGGCGGTTGCTGCCGAGGCGGTGGTGCCGAGGCTGGACCGGGCGGAGAAGGTGTTGGGGTGAGCGGCGCTTGCGGCAGCTCAGCCACGGAGACGGCGCCCAAGGCGGCGTTAGTGGAAGCAATGATAGTATTCGCAGCTTCTCGATATTTGTATCTGAGTATTTCAGCCCTAACTGCATTAAGTTCAGATTGTAGGGTTTGAATTTGTTGTTGAAGAGCCGAAATGGCGCCCATGCAGCCGTAAACGGGATCTCTGAGCCGTACGTTGGCTTCGTAAACTAAACTGTTTGCTGCGTCGGCTCTTTGGAGATCAGGCACCTCCTATACGAAACGAAAATTTAAATATATTATTACGGAGAAAATTAAATACAGTTAAACTTCTATAAATTAATACAGTTGGGTCTAACGAAATTCTATTAATTTAGCGAGATATTAAATTGTTGAACTAATAATTTAATACGTTTTTACCGAGTCGGGACCAGAAGAAATTATTACTTAAACGAGGTTATTAATTTATAGAGGTTCTACTGTAATAATGCATAAAAAATAAGATGTTAAATTTTTTTTTAATCTTTTTTATTTAATATTCAAATGTGGTTATTGGAAAAAAAAAAGTAGTGAAGAACACGATCCGAATTTCGGTGAATAATACTCGAAATTCATGTCATTTAAGGTTTCGGCAAACAAATTAAACATAGATTTCTAACGACGGATAAATTTAAAAGTTTAAAAGGACAGATAATATAGTGAATAGAAAATCTCTAACGAGGGTTTATGAAGTTATATTTAGCAAACTCAATGTTTTGTTTTATTATTAAAAATTCAAATTGTCGTTACAGATCGTAATAGAAAGTAGTGAAGAACACGATTTGAATTTCGGTGAATAATACTTATTTAAATGTGTCGTTTAAACATAGATTTCTAACGACGGACAAATTTTAAGTTTTAAAAATGACAGATGATATGCGAAATAAAATTTCCCTAACGAGGGTTTATGAAGTAGCAAATTCAATGTTTACTTATTTATTTATTTTTATTTTTAATTTTTTTATCTAATTAAAGTTAAACACCATAACATATATCTTCTTAAATATGATATATGCAATACATAACAAGGATAAATTATAACCCTTAGATTGTGGGATTTCCAATTCCATTTAGAAGTTCGTAAAAGTCAATATTTTTCGATTTTTCGATTTTCGACAAATAATAATAATTAAATTAAAGTTAAAAAAAAAAAAAAAAAAAAGAATTACCAGCAGCATCTTGGAAACATTGCTAGCACCAAAGACTTTGTGAACAGCAGCAAATTTATGAGGCTCATGTGGTGAGAAGTAAGGAGAGAAAGGGCATTCCTCTGCACATCTTCTTCTCAACAGCTTACACGCAGCACATGGTGTTATTGTGTTTAATGTCGTCCCCGCCCCGCCCGGTGGGTGTGGGCCCCCCATTACCATATTTCTCCTTATTCCCATCGAACTATTATTACCACCATCGATCTCTTTCTTCAACTTCTTCCCGATCTCTTCATACCCTTCCCTACCAACAAATATATATATTACAACTCAAGACTTATATATATATATCAAACAAAATTAGGGTTTCTTGTTTTCTTTATGTATATATATATATATACCTTTCTCTGGACATATATGTATATACTAAAGTTTATGTATATATATGGCTCTCTCTCTCTCTCTCTCTCTCTCAAGAAGACAAAAAGGAAAGAGTTGCTTAGAAGAGGAGATATATATCTCAGATACGATAAGGGACATTAAAAGTAGGTCAATGTTATGTTTCTTCAAGAAAGTGCCAAAATATTATTTGTCATGTACAAGATTACCGATTACTATTTGATTTGAGGGCGG